AATACACAACTCGTTTTCTTCTTTCATTGTTTCATTGCGTCAGTTTGATATCGTGTCACTCGTTTTCTTCTTATCTATAGACATTGGCAAACTTAGAAAATCTTCTTTTGCAACGCGCATCAAAAAGTGGGACAGATCAAAGCCACGCGAGAAAGCAAGAAAAATGATTTACTTAGTTCGAAAGAACTCCCGTGCAATATAAAAGTAAATTTATAATTCACATCTCACTGTATATCTTTTAATTTCGGATATATTTTTGTAAAAAATAAATGATTAATTTAAAATAATTGAGCGAAATTACCGTATGTAAAAAATAACAAAGTGTACAGACATAAAACAAAATAAATTCAAATCACTTGCGAATATTGTTTATCACTTGTAAATTGTAGAAAAGGATTATACATTTTGTTGGTGTCACTCTCTAGACGAAAAAGCTTTTACCGTCTTTTTTTTTGTTCATAGATCTTTTAATTGCTTTTCTATTTAGGAACAAGATGGAGGATATGCAATGACACTAAATAACGTGAAGGACAAACAAAAAAGGGTTCAAAACTTATATAAACACAATCCTCTACAAAAGTTATCCGAGGCAGCTGAAGTTAGTTCTGAAGAAGCTGAATCAGACGAGGTAGCACATGGTGTAAGTAAAAATAATCAGTTTCTAATAGCAGAAGCTTTCAAAATAATATTACTGTTTTTAATAAAAATAGGCATTGATTCATATTTAAAGGGAAAACAGCAGATATTTTCAACAAAGTACCTCTGATTTTGCTTTGAACTCGTCAACAATGAATAGACAACTCGATTTCAATCTCTAATGAAATCAGCAAAAGCAATAAATTCACTAACCTACATTGATGGAGGTTGCGAAAGTATAAGTAGTTACACAGTAAAAATAGTAACGCCATCTATAATTAGTAAGAAAAATCAAAGGTAGCTCGCAGTAACTATTAATTTGTCGCTGGAAAGACGAAGAGAGGTAACTCTATTTTACATATTTTACAAGAGACGCAGTTAAACCTTTAGTGTATAGTGCTCCGTCCATATATTATTTGCCATAATATGTTAACTATAAGGAGGAGAGATACCTACGCCCCTTTGTCACATCATAGATATCCATTTTAACAGAAGTCAAATTGGGCATTTTTCGACTCACGCCCCTTTGCTTTTTCAGCGACGAATTATTATGTGACACTGGCTTTGAGTTTTATTTCTAATCTATTTTATGTCTTAATCACATTTGAGTTGGAATTATTTCCTTATTTAAAAACTACACATCTGGTTCGTTTATTTTGCGGGACCTCGCTCTGCTCGTTCCGCAAAAATTTACTCGTTACATAATTCAAATAATATATCATATCATTGTTTATTTTCAGGATCGTTTCGCAAGAATGGTAAGCAGATGGTAATGGATTACTGATAGAAAATATCAACATGATAAATATCTGACATTTACTTTGTTTTCTTTATTATTATAAAAATAAAACTTTATTACACTAATAATTTTATTTATTCGCATAACCTAGGTATTTTTCTTTGAATTTTGATATTTAAAATAAAATCTAACCTTCAAAACGATCCTTTATACATTTGTATTGTTATATCTATCAATTTCTGGCATCCCAAGTCAACGTGATGTAATATAGAAACATAAAAACATGGCATTACCCTTAATGCAATTCCCCAATTGCCTTATGTAGACAGGAGGTCACAAACAAATAATGGGTCCTATGATTGAACGTTTATGTTATCCATAACGTACATGTTAGGTCGAATTTTAACAGTAACGAAGCAAGTTTGTACGATGGAAAACTGTTAAATTAGAACATAACAGGCGGAAAATAACAGTAATGTGTTGGAAAGCGTTTTTCATCATACGAACTTGCCTAATTACTGTTAAAACTGAGCCTAACATGTACGTTACGGATAACGTAAACGTTCAATCATAGGACCCATTATCTGTCCAAATAACAACCCAAGTAACATTTTTAGCTTTATCAAAGTATACAAGATAGTCTTAGGGCTGTTATAAATCTGTTTTAAGAGTAAAAAGGAAAATCCTATAACGGTTCTTAAGAGTATTTTTAAGACAATATTTTAAAACTAATTAGACCTAAGTCAAAGTTCGTAAGAGTATATTAAGAATTTTATCACACCATTTTTCCGACTAGGCAAGCCCCAGTCAAACTCAAAGTACCCACGTATGATTAAAGTTGTCTTGCCCAATGAATATGATGCCCGCTCTGTATTAAGAAATAAAAAGAAACTACTTGAACACCCCACAACTAAAAACTTTTCAGTAATCACCGATCAAACGTCTATTCAAGTTCAAGTTATTAAAGATTTACGGGCCGAACTAGAAAACAGAAAGCAAAATGGAGAAACACACATAACCATTAAGTATTTGCAAGGTGTGCCAAAAATTGTTAAAAACTCTAACTTTCAAGTCTAACTCTGCCACTATTACTTCTTGATCATTTTTATATACTAACCTGGATTCTCTTAAAGCCAAATTTGACGAGTTTTTATGTAATGTTCAAGATATCAAACCGCATTTAATATTTATCACGGAAACCTGGCTAAAACCATCAGATCTAGACTCGCTTGTTTCTATCCATGGATACACCATATTTCGATCTGATAGACCATTGAAAACAGGTGGCGGAGTTTGTATATATATTTGTGAAGAAATAACCTGAAATTTCTCATTTGCCACTGATATCCCAAAAATAGCAGGTATAGATATTTAACTGCTTAACGTTTCTAAAGGTCTCTTCAATATTAATTTCGCCTGTATCTATAGACCTGGTGATTCCTGCTTATTAATTGATAAACTTAATAACTTTTCAACACTCCAAAATGCAATTGCAGTTGGAGATTTTAATTTTCCCGATATTTGCTGGCCAATAACTCGTATTCCAGACTCAGGCACTTCAACAAGTAATTTTATGCAATTTTTTGCTGACTCCAATTTCTTTCAATTAATAGATAAACCAACCAGGACTTTGGAGAAAGTACAATATTTCTAAAAATATACAGGACTTCCGTTCTCACAGATATTTCTCTAATTTCTTAAAACTAAATATTCGCTCAGCGAGAAGAGACTATGAAGAAAATATTGTAAACTCAGAAAATCACAAAAAGTTATACAAATATGTGCGTTCAAATTTATGTTCCAAAGTAAGTGTATCTTTATTGCGTTGCCCAGATGGTACTTTATGTTCTACAGATTTCGATACTGCGGAAATTCTGGCAAAGACTTTTACTTCTGTATTTACAAACGAACCTGCCACTACCCCACTACCACATATGATAACCACGAGGATACATAATAGTCTGATTGATGTGCAGTTTAATCCCGAAAAGGTTAAGAATAAATTACTTAAGTTGAAGAACCACTCTTCACCTGGTATTGATGGATTAAGTTCTTTCTTTTTAAAAAAGTATGCAAACACACTGTCTGGTCCGCTTTCCACAATCATGACAACGTCTTTTAAAACATCTACTCTACCCGACTTATGAAAAATTGCGTCAGTCACAGCTATTTTTAAGAGGGGTGACAAAATGGATGCTTCAAATTACAGACCTATAAGCCTTCTGTCTATCCCATCAAAAATCATGGAAAGCATCGTAGTTGATGTCATGACTAACTTTTTTAAAAGAGCATAACGTAATACCAAAGGAACAACACGGTTTTGTTAAACAAATCTTTTATGCTGTATTAACGATTGGTCTCGCTCACTCGAATGCAAACAACCAACTGATGTAATTTATCTCGATTTTGCAAAGGCTTTTGATAGGGTCCCTTTCGTCAGACTGCAGCACAAACTCGAGTCATTTGGTATTCGAGGAAAATTATTGTCATGAATTCACAATTATCTAGGAAATAGGAGCTTCCAAGTTAAAGTTCATCAGATAGATTAGTGACAAGTGGTGTCCCCCAAGGCTCGATACTGGGTCCGCTTCTTTTTATAACTTATTCGAGTGATATTTTTATTATTAAAACTGCCGTTCAATATGTAACTGGCAAAATAATTACTCAACTAATTGTCAGATTCAACTAACTTGTTATATTGCCAAGCAACGGTTTCATGGGTATATTTTCCTTAAAATTATTATCAAATTATGATAGAAGTTAATACCAATATTATTTCAAACTCATATAAAATTAATATAGTAGATTGCGAGTAAAATCGTATGCATACCTCGGGAACTCATTCTAACCTTGCGTCTCAGCATTGATACATACTTAGCCCTTAATAATTCATGAGGGGATTCACAATTTTCCTACTCAGGTTTACGTCGCTCATGGTACTTTGTCAACTTAACTCACGCAGATGAAGATATGGGCTTAGTATGCATCAATGCATTTCTCATATATACCACCGATGCTGTAAAGGGGTATTTGAAGATTTGATAACGAGCCTGAAACGTCGTCTAGCCAGAATTAGACATCAAATTTCTGTCTCGGAACCTCGAAAATCCACGTCGTAATGGTCTAGCGGTAAGAACATTTATCTGGATTCTAATCCCGGAAAAGAAAGGCTGTTTTTCAAATATCTTTTTTTACCTTTGGGGTTCGGGGATGGTCTTAATAATTCGTAATGGGTTTTTTGGAATTTATTTCCGAATTTTTAAACTATTCTACAACTTATTTCAGATATTTCTGAATTCGAATTTCGATTTGCGATCTACGCAATATTAAATCCACAATTTTCTTAAAATAAGGAAGTTAAGTATGTAAAGGTATTTTTTTTTAAATTGGGCTTGACCAACAACCTCTTACTTCAAATTTTCAGGTTTTAATTTCTTTTAGTTTACTAGAAACAAAATCAGTTATAATATTAAATTTGTTATCAAAGAACTTATCATAGTTGCTGTTAATTAATTATTATCAATAATATCACAATATATTTAAATGATATCGAAAGGAAACTAACTGATAATTTTCAATATTTAAATAAATTATTTTAAAAATATGTGTTTAGTACTTTCGAACACCTCATTCAAAATGTCTCGATTCGTATATTTTTCATTTTTTCTAATTGTAATAATAAATGAATTCGCAAATCATGAAGTTTGTGGAAAAAATATTTTGGTAAGTGTGCTAAATAAATTAACATTTTAAGCTCAAACTGAATAATTTTTTTAAAATTATTTTGAAAATTATACGCCTCTGTTTTATAGATGCTCTTATTTTATGCGCTTATTTTAAAACGTTCGTAAACATTTCCGGAAATAATTTATTCACTAGTGATATTATAAGTGAAAATTTCTTTCTATCAATGTTCAACCAATAAAATACAAGAAATTCATAACATCGCCATGGTAAACTGTGTATTTTTCTCTTGCTGGAGTGCCCTGGATAATATTTCAGGTCAATCTCTTTTACATGACAAAAAGTGATAAAACGTGCGTTTTATTAAACTTTCCATATTATTTAATATAAAAAGAATAAAGACAGCTGAACAATATCAAATTATTTACTTTTTGTAAACATAGTTTTCAGCTTCAAATTTTAAACGTATCTTGAATTCTAACTCGTTTATAGAATAGAATAGAATATACAGGGTGTTATTGAAATACACGTACATATTAAAACTGGGTATTGCGCAGATCCCCACTGAATGTAGAAAAATATTATTTTTTAAAAATACCCCTTATTAAGGGAGTTATTAATTTTTGAAAATTAATTTTAAAACAAACGTACTTCACTGATATGTTGAGGATGACCTATATAAATTAGGTTTATTTACCTATTTAAACATCAAAAGTAATTAATATGCAAGTTTTTGTCAGATGATAAGAAAACTAGTCTTGTAAGAAATAACCATGTTGCCAAGATTTTCGAATTAATTTCTATTTCCGAAGACTGGTTTTTACTACCCTCGTTATCAAAAAACTAGAATATTTGATAAATGATTGTTTTTAAACTATACATTTTTGAAACTATAGATTATTAAAATTTTAGTTGATTTACGAATCTGGCTAACACGAGCGCGTCATTTCCAAGTTGGTAAAATGTGTTGTTACGATTACTTTTAAATATTTTTTTACGATGCCACTATTTACGAATATTGAACTAACGGATATAGTGCTGGTTTATGGGGCAGCTGGAGAAAATTCTCGGCAAGCACAAATCCTGTATCGCGAACGGTTTCCAAATCGGAGAATTCCGGACTGTCGTACGTTTATTTCAACTGTTCAGCATCTAAGAGACCATGGAAAATTTGAGAGTGTCAATGCAGATCGAGGGAGAACAAGAACACAAAGAACATTGGCGGCCGAAGAAGAAATATTGGAAGCTGTTGAAAACCGGCCTCAATTAAGTTGTAGAAGACTAGGTCTTGAAATTGGAGTGTCCTCATTTGTTGTGTGGCGGACACTTAAAGAACAAGGTTTACATCCTTATCACATCCAAAAAGTCCAGGCCTTATATCCAGGTGATGAAGAAAAGAGAGTGGAGTTTTGTGAATGGATGATTCAAAAATGTGTTGATATTCCTGATTTTCTAAAAATATTATTGTATACTGACGAGGCTTCATTCACTCGTGATGGCGTGTTCAATATGCACAATACGCATATTTGGAGTGATGAAAATCCTCACGCCATTAGGGAAACTGGGCATCAAAGAAAATTTTCAATAAATGTTTGGGCTGGCATAACAGATCAGTATTTAATCGGGCCTTATGTTCTCCCGAACAGATTAAATGGGCCAGGATATCTCCACTTTTTAGAAGATATTTTGCCAGTACTCCTAGAAGAGATACCGTTACAATTAAGGCAACGGATGTGGTACCTACTAGATGGCGCTCCTCCTCACTTTGATTTAAACGTACGGCAGTTTTTGAACATTAGATTTCCTCAAAAGTGGATAGGCAGAAATGGACCTACTAAGTGGCCTCCGAGATCTCCGGACTTAAATCCATGCGATTTCTTTTTGTGGGGTCACATGAAACAACTGGTTTATAATGAACCTATTAATAGTGTTGAACAATTAACCAATAAAGTTAATGCGGTAGCCGAGGAACTACGACAAAATCCAAGACTAATTTCTAATGTTCAAAGTTCTTTGGAAAGACGATTGCAAGTGTGTGTAAATAATAATGGACGGCATTTTGAACAATTACTGTAATAAACTTTATTTTGAATTAATTGGTTTTGCTACGGCAACAGTGCAATTTCTATGGGTAAGTTCAATTTCGATTTATTTTACTTCTTTAAATATGGAAACTAGTAGGTCGGAAAAGGGGACTCTTCCCCAATATTTAAATTTTAGAATTTGAAGTTAAAATTGGTGCCAATCGTTTTTGGTCATTACATACTATTCCCCATTTTAATATGTACGTGTATTTCAATAACACCCTGTATTTATAGTATAAAAATTTACATGTACATTTCACAATCTATATCGAAATCTTCGCCCTGTCTTCTTGCGGAAACTGGAGGTGTCAGGGCGTCGTCTCGTATCCTGGTCATGATATGCAAGAAGTTTATTGGTGTTATAGGGGTTGCCACCTCCTTATCTCAGATATTATGCGACATTTTTGGATTTATTTGTAGAATCGGTAGTTGATCTTATTTCAAAGCTTTGTCTGTTGTTAGTTATGTCATGTTTCCCTGAAAAAGCGCTAGAAAAAACAGGGTTGTCCTTGTGACTCTAACTCTTTTTTCAACATATCATGACAAATTGTTTATTTCCGAATCATTGGAAAACATTGATTTTTAATTTGTTAGCTCAAAAAGTTATAACTTTTTTGTAAGCACTTGTGTATAGTGTGTATCTGTAGACGAATATGTGGGAAAAACTAAGACATTGACATTCAGCGGCTTGTCTGTTTGAGTACCACTGGAGCCATGCGTACTAGACCAATTGCGCTGCTGCACATCTTCATACAAATAGAAAGCAGGTCCCTTATTCACAGGCTAATGCAGAGACAAATAAACCAACTACATAGCGCTGACCATACGAGGCTATATCAGCAAGTAACCATAACCACATACAAATTTGAAAGAAATTTGCAAATTCAAATACCAACCTGAGAATCCTGGAAACAGGCTAAACTCTTCTGGCATACGGATGATTCAAAAACCAAGGACGGAGTCGGTGCTGAAATCTTTGGACAGAAGTCGAAAACAACGATTTCATCAAGTCTAGGGTTCCAGGGTGAACTAATAGCCATACAATACTGTGCAAGGGAAATAATAAATCAGCAAGTATCAGGCAAAACTATTTCCATCTACTCGGATAGCCTAGCAGCTCTAAAGGCAATTCTCTCACCAGAAATCGAATCATGGCTGGTGAAAGACATAGAAGCGCTGGCAGAAGTAAGTAATCAAAACAAACTAACCCTAGCCTAGGTGCCAGGCCACGAGAAATATCAGAAAAACGAAAAGGCTGACGAACTCCCCCGATAAAGTCATAACAGATGGATAAGGCCATGATAGGCTCCGAACCCTTCTGTGAAGTTGCTAAGGCATTGTGCAAGGCATCCATCAAAGAAGAGATGCAAAAAAAATCTTAAGAATCTAAATAACGGTGTCTCACAATAGATCTGAAAAGGTAACGGTGAACAAGGACAAATAATTTCCAACTCCTCTTAAATCGAATCTAATAGGTAAGTTAGCTCTAATCGACCTATTTTTGATTCCAAAATATATTATAACCTACCGTTTTGTTACACCCTATATAATATATATTTCAGTAATCTTTGCAATTTTTAATTTTTCTCTTTTAACCAATATTAACTAAATTTTCTAAAATATAATATAGTATAAAAATATAATTAGGTAGACCTACGTACCTATTATCTTTTTTTGGTAATTTTGCCAATATCGTCCCAATATCTAATCTCTTGTTTTTAATTTCTTTCAGATAATTATTTAACAATTCGATTAGATTAAAATGGTAGATATAAATAAAATATTTATCTAAACTATTTCCAACTTTGGATTTCTATATTTTTAATTTTAATTGAGCTAGAATCACTTAAGCAAAGCGTGGTAAATTTCATTTAAACACAGATCAAAGAAAATTATTAGAAAATGTTTTAATGAGACTGGGCTAGGTCAGTTCAAGCTCTATTTTAAAGGAAGGAAATGGTTCAAAGAAAACTAACTCACTAATAAAACTCACATTGAAGATGCAAATTAAAAGTTATAGTAAAAACAATAAAATTATTTTTATCATAAAAATCCAAATTGCGGAAAGAGAAAATTACGATTTATATCAACTTTTCCCTTTACCTAGTCCTAAAAGCAACCTGTTCCAAATGATTATTCGAAATTCAAAATTCCTTATCCTAAACGAGCAAAATTTCATGTCATTTGACACAGAATGTCAAGAAATTAGTAACCAAGAGTGTATCTATCACGAATCAGTACCAACTCCAATAGAAGAAGACGCCCCCTGCGAAGTTTCATTGTTGAGGTTTCCAAGAACCTCATCAAGTGCCAAACCATCCCTCTCGACATTGTGGACATAAAAATTCAAAAAATTCGTCAAAATAAATGGATGATCATTTCACCTCAGAACACAGTGGCCCAAATAATTTGCGGACAAGACAATGACAACATATTTGTTAGAATTAATCAATAAGCGTAGTGTTAGAATAGGTAAAATAGTTCTACGTAGGTAGCAATGAACTGTCAAAAAGTGAATTTAAAGTAATAGAACTTCCTAAAGTTAATATTAAAAACTCTAATGATAATAATCCTATTTACCTTAAACAGTATTGATTTAGAACAATTAACCATTCTAAAAGACTCTCTAAATTTTCAAAAACAAAAAGTAAAACATATTTTTGATATCCCAATCCATTTGAACAATATCAGTGTTTGGACTATATATTTTTATATTTTTATTGCATTTTGTTTGTTATTTTGCATTTACTCATATAGAAAATATAGGAAGAATTAATCGAAGAAGAGCTCCAACAAAGAAACTCCAGAGGCCAGCCCCCTTATTCTCCTCTAAGGGTGGAAGAGTTATGATAACACAATCATAGCAAATACAAGTAGAATTATGCAGACACGGCAAGTCCAAGATAAGGCCCCCCCAAGATCTAGAGGCAACAAAACTAGTTCGTTGTCGGCATTTTCAAGCTTTTCCATTTTAACTTTGTATTGTTAAGACATAAAATAAAGTACCGCTTTTTGTAAAGTTTTGTCATGTTTTAAAAAACCAATTTTTATTAGCGAACCTAAAAGTTTCCTGTAAACTATGAATACACTTATATCGATTCAAGACAAGAAACATAGTTGGCACGGTAGTGCCATATTTTTGATTTCTATGGTGGCAGTCTACGTGTTAAATTAATATTTAATTTTCTTTTTCAGGGACGTTACCGGAGACAGATTCCTAGCGCGAAAACTATTGTAAACTGGCTTAAAGAAGCAGGGGTAAAATGAATAATTTTTAATAAAATAAAAATCAGCAATAACAAAAAAGTCACAAATCAAATATCAATTTTATATCAAAATATTTACGATTTATTAAAAAAAATTAATATTTAATTTTCAGTATCAGGGACGTAACCGCAGACACATTCCTAGCATAAATGATATGGGAACCTGGCTAGAAAACGCAAAGGTAAAATGATTAATTTTTCATAAACTAAAAATCGGCAATAATAAAAAAAATAAATTTTAGCAACAGCTGTTAAATGAATGATACAACATATTTTAATTGTTTATTTTTTAGTCTGTGTATTAAGATTATCATTGCTCTTCTAACACATTTATTTAAACATTTATTTTTGTGCCAAAAGAAAACTCAATATAAAGATTTTAATTAATAAAGAAAACTAGTGTCTACCATTTAGGTTTGCCACTTGCACAAAAAGTGGTTTTTAATAACAACTTATGGTTACATTGGATGAAAAAGGCTAATATCTGCAGATTTTTACTGCCTAGGGTATGCCGATGACCTGGCGATCGTCGTAAGAGGCAAGTTCGCAGGTACAATATCGGAGCGCACACAAACCGCTCTAAACATTGTCGACGAGTGGTGCAGAGAGGAGGAACTAACAGTAAACCCTCACAAAACCACAATAGTCAACTTTACAAAACGAAAAGTACCAACAGGACTAAAGTCACCAGTACTGAAAGGAGTGAAGATTCCATTCGCTCAAGAAGCCAAATACTTGGGAGTCATCTTTGACCACAGGTTAACATGAAATCTACACTTGCAAAAATGTCACCCAAAAGAGCACAACGTCCTTCAACTTATGTCGAAGGTTGTGTGGAAAAAATTGGGGATTACAACCAAAAATGTACCTGTGGTTATATACCAAAGTCATAAGGCCGATGATAACCTACGGGTCGGTGGTATGGTGGCCAAAGACTCGGCAAGCTGGAGCCATTCGACAGCTCAATGGTATTCAAAGGTAAGCATGCCTGAGTACCACGGGAGCTATGAGAACGACTCCAACAGCAGCTATAGAAGTCATGCTAATCCTAACACCACTACATATATTCATTCAAGGCGAAGCCAGGTCTGTCACATACAGACTACACAAAGGTTCATCGCCCATAAGCAGTTTGCATGGACGCGACTACAGCGAGCTATATAAAGAGTTGGAGAACGACCAAATAATGGGAATGCCTTCAGACGAAATGCTTCCAAAGTATAGCTTTATAAAGCAATATAAAGTAAGTATACCAGACAGGGAAGCGTGACGGGAGGACCTCTTATTCATGCAGATCTCACCTGGTACACAGACGGCTCCAAAACCCATAAAGATTCAGGAGTAGGTATATATAGTACCAAGCCAAAGACAGGAATCTCACTGAGCTTAGGTAAACATGCGGCAGTATTCCAGGCAGAAATAGCAGCAATACATCACTGCGCAAAAGAAGTATTAAGGCAGAAGGTAAATGGAAAAACCATTGTCATATACTCAGACAGTCAAGCGACGTTAAAAGCACTCAGTTCCATACAGGTACACTCAAAGCTTGTGTGGGACTGTTTGGAAGCCCTAACAGAGCTGGGTAGTCAAAATAGACTAACCTTAGCCTGGGTACCAGGCCACAGGGGACACAAGGGCAATGAATAGGCTGATTTACTAGCCCGAGAAGGAGCTTCAAATGCTCTTATTGGCCCAGAACCCTTCTGTGGTGTAACAAAAACAACTATCAGAACATGCACAAAGCAGTGAATGTTTAAAAAATCTCAGGAGTGGTGGAAAAACTCACCAGGACAGAGACAGGCCAAAAAGTCCTTAAAAGGACCATCGTCTAAACTCACCGAGCATCTACTAAGCCTTAATAGGAAAAATACTAGAATACTAGTAGGTCTATTAACAGGACATTGTAGGCTTAACAAACATATGTTCAATATCGGTCTGACAGAAGAGGCCTTGTGCCGATTCTGTCAAGAAGAAAAGGAAACGGCAGAACACGTATTGTGCTACTGCGAAGGTCTAGTAAGACTGAGATTCCTTACACTTGGAGAAGAAAAACCAAGGGCAACTAGCTATACCGGAGAACTACTTCCCAGTCTATGGAGTCTACTACAAAAGACCGAATTAGACAAGGTACTCTAAACAATGATTAAAGGATATCCACAATAGATCTGAAAAGGTCGAGGTGGGGGAAGCCACATGGCCCATAGTCCTAATTAAATCTTAATCTTACATTGGATGAACAAAAATTCTTACCGAAATAAAATTTAATTAAAGTAAGAGAAATGTTTAAAAATATGCTTTTTTCCAGTTTATGAACATTATATTTGCAAACAAAATGAATAGTATATCCCTCCTCCAAAAATATGAGGAAGAGAAGAGCTAAACAAATAAAGGAATGTAAATGTTAAAGATGGAATCAATAAAATTGAGTGTGGAAAAAAATAATCTACTCCCCTCTTTTTTTGACATTAAACAACTAATTGAGATTTTAGTATTCCTAACAATTTTGCAAATAACATTTTTTCCTACCACAAAGTGATATAATTTAGGACAGTTTGTAGTAAAAAAATTAATTATTAATTATATTTATTAGTTACTTTGACAAACTTCAGAAAATAATTCTTTGAGTAATTTTAAGGTAAAAACTTCATATAAATATGTGTCTGAAAATGGATGGTTTTCAAGATACAGGGTATTAAAGTTTTAAGAAAAAAATCGTTTTTTTATCATATCTTTCATACCACTGAAGATAATTTAATAAAATTTGGTACACGTTGTTTTACCATAAAATGACATTTTCTGATGTTATTAACGTTTTTTAATTTTCGTCAGTGGCGTCCCTACGGTATTTAAACTAAATATTATTGAAGAAAAAAATGGTACGCCACTGGTTTTTCAATGATTTGCCATACATGGTACATTACCTATTTAAAATTAAGGTGTTGGAGAAGTGCAAGGGAGGGGGTTGACACATGACAGATGTCTGTATTGTAAAAATGTTTTTAATTTGGAATAAAAATCGACCTGTTTTAGCATTTTTTTAAAATCCAATGATTAATGCTGAAAAACAGGATGAGATTATTTTGAGTGACCCACTCTGTATATCAAAAATGGCTAGATTTATCGAATTAGTTCATAGAACAAAATCTGCTTAAAAATGTATTTTTACAAGATGCGCTACACAAGAAAAATCCTCCCATCGAAAAAAAATTATTACGCGCAGCGCCATCTACATATTGACCAATTTAAAATCAATTTATTTAGGTTTTTTAAAATTTTATGTCTCTTAGTAAACGTTAAACAATATGTAATTTTTATAATTATAATATTTATAATATCCTTTAAATTTAATGTTTTCTTAGGATGATGTGTATGACTGGGGTTCTGATAAGTACGAAGAATTAAGTAAAAAATTCGAAACTGATAGTGAAATAGTTCAAGACAATTTAGAAGAACAATATTACGAGCTTTTAAACGAATTGGAAGAAAAAAGAGAACAATTGATGAATTTGCCTCTATACAAAGAAATAGAAAAACTAGAACTTGCCCTACTCACTGATGAAGCCGGTGTTGAGCACACTAAAGTAAGTAGGATCTTTCCGATATGAATCATATTAAATTATTTATTGTTTCGGCCTTTACTTGATGAAAATCTAAATGCAACATTTGAAAAAGAAGTTGTACTTTGAAACATGTGATGTGTAGTGTTTTTAATTTTTTAATTTTTATTTTTTTTTTAATTAAAAGTTTTGTGAAAATCTACCAAATTTGGTTTTACTCATTTTAATATGAATCATATTAGTTAAAGTTTATAAATATAAGCACAAACAATTTATTATATGGACATACCTACTGCTATATAATAGAAAGAAGATATATTTTTAATATTTCAAAACTCATTGAAAAGGCTTTTACGGCTTCTAGTCTAATCAACAAGTTCAAAAGCGTGTTTTTGGGACATACTATTACGAAAATTATGTTCAATAGCTCATTCGATTCGGAATAATGTCTAGATCAATGTGTGAAGAAAAATTTTGCAGTGCATAAAAAATTGCAAAAGTTATAAACAATTAAACACCTCAAAAACATGGTGTTTGGTTTTTCGCCTATAGTTTGTAAACTATAAATATATTGAAATGAAATAACAAAAGTAAATTCTAATTTGGGACGAAGTGTACACTGTGACAATTAGTACAGTAACTTTGTAAGTAAAAAGAAACATTAGCTGTCATAAGTGATAAAAAAAAATATTAAATAATGATTAAACAATAAAGGTTCACTTTAAAAAAAAATCACTAAAAAGTAAACATAATTAAAAAAAAATCACATTGCAATGACCACAAAGAGTATCTCAATAACCTAAAAAAAAAAACATATATACGAACCTACCTTTACTTTTTTCTTTTTTTTTTTGGATGATTGGTATCCAAGGGGTAACTAAGGGGTTGTTGATTTTGAGATGGAGTTTTTGACAAACGTTTGAGATTTTTTTTTGAAATTAAAATTGGAATTCTTAATATATTTTAAACAGTTACAACCTAAAAATAATAAAATATTCTTTCAAATTTTATTATGTACATCCTGGGTGAGTAAAAAATTACCTACCGTTAACTAGAAGGAGCAAATCGTGTATCGAACTCCGGTCACCGAGCAGACAGACGATTCTGTGGGAATCAGCCATTTCGTCCATGTTGAGAAGGAGTATATTTCCAATTCCTGGAATCAAAATAACTTTAACTAGGAAAGAACTGAGGTTTTAGTGAGTAAAATAATCTAAACAAGTTGATTAAAAACGATATTGCAAGCTACTTACTTTTAAAAGTTTTTTTTGAACAGTTTATTAATTGACTTTCGGTTTTTAAACACAATAAACATTTTGTTACGTTCTGTATTCTGCATTGGTGTAAATAATTTTTTTAAATTTAGGTTAGATGTATAGAGCTCTTTACAAATATTTTAAGAAGGGTAATTACAGAAAGCTAGTTTTAATTTTACTTAAGTAAAGTGAATCTCCAGAGTACAGCATACTGTAATATCCTCCAATAGATGGCGTGTCCGCCATTTTCTATCCACAAAATTAATTATGAATAATTTTTTTTTTGTTCCTATTTATATCTAAATGTTGAAATGATTTGGTTTATAAATAAAATGAAACTAATATTTTTGTAAAAGGAATATTTTATTGATTAATTGGGAAAATAATACTCTAATCGAGAAAGGTAACTTAATATAAAAAATAATTTCATATTAACAAGGAATAGCGCCAGAATCCAAGACCCATGAGATGATAAGAGTAATAGCCGGAGCAATAACAGAAATTAATAAAGGTAAATTCGTATAACTAATGATATGGTTGAGTAATAATTATTGAGTAAAAAATTATCAAGTTAAACATAAAAAAATATATCACACTATAATCATCAATATAAACTAAAATCTGGACTATCAAACTCATATCCATATCAATATTTGGATTTTTCAAAAAAGATCCTTAAAGAGGAGGAAATTTGCTATAAATAAGTTCCAACTCCCTGAACTGTACCTCCATCATTTATAATTTTAATTTAACGCTCAAAGTAGCCTTCCGCGCGCCATTTTTAGGTTGCGCGCACGGCGTCGAAACCGAGTACGTTACATAAAATAATGTTTTTAAGTAAATAAAATTAAATTCAAAAATTTTAAAAAATTACGGTGTATTCTAAACACTTAGAAGAATTCATTCCCGTTGGAATTTTTCATAAAAATTAATTTTCCAACAAAGTAGGTTATTGTTAATTAACAAAATTTTTAGAATTTCTCTTATCATTACAAATTGATAAAATTATTAAATAATTACCGTAAATTTTTTTTGCTTCATGGAGCTCTTTTTATATACATATAAAACAAAATAGCTGCATAAAAGTTTAAAAAATGTTAATACTTTGTTTATAATAATTTTTTAAAGTTTACAAAAACTGAAAAGTCACAGTGGTGCTATAAAAAAATTTTTTTTCAATTTATTATAATTGTTTTAATGTCGAGAAAAGACATTAATTAATTTGAAAAAAAAATTTTTTTCCTCCATTTGTTTATAAATTAATAATAAACAAATGGAGTATTTAAATTTTTTCAAATTTTTTTTACAACTTTCTAGAAAATTGCCAAATATGATTTTTAAAAAAAAATTTTTTCATAATAACTTTAAATTGTTTATAATCGTTTTTTTAATATATCTATTGTTTAAATTATTAGTTAAGAAATGTGTTTTTTTTTTAATCATAATTGACAGTCCTCTAAAAAGTGACAGCAAAAAAAATTTTTTTTATTAATAATTCCATTGTTTATTAAGTTAACAATTTGTTATAATAATTTTTTAAAGTTTACAAAAACTGAAAAGTCTATAAAAAATTTTTTTTCAATTTATTATAATTGTTTTAATGTCGAGAAAAGACATTTATTAATTAGAAAAAAAATTTTTTCCTCCATTTGTTTATAAATTTTTTATAAACAAATGGAGTATTTAAATTTTTTCAAATTTTTTTTACAACTTTCTAGAAAATTGCCAAATATGATTTTTAAAAAAAAATTTTTTCATAATAACTTTAAATTGTTTATAATCGTTTTTTTAATATATCTATTGTTTAAATTATTAGTTAAGAAATGTGTTTTTTTTTAATCATAATTGACAGTCCTCTAAAAAGTGACAGCAAAAAAAATTTTTTTTATTAATAATTCCATTGTTTATTAAGTTAACAATTTGTTATAATAATTTTTTAAAGTTTACAAAAACTGAAAAGTCTATAAAAAATTTTTTTTCAATTTATTATAATTGTTTTAATGTCGAGAAAAGACATTTATTAATTAGAAAAAAAAATTTTTTCCTCCATTTGTTTATAAATTTTTTTATAAACAAATGGAGTATTTAAATTTTTTCAAATTTTTTTTACAACTTTCTAGAAAATTGCCAATTATGATTTTTAAAAAAAAAATTTTTTCATAATAATAACTTTAAATTGTTTATAATCGTTTTTTTAATATATCTATTGTTTAAATTATTAGTTAAGAAATGTGTTTTTTTTTAAATCATAATTGACAGTCCTCTACAAAGTGACAGCAAAAAAAAATTTTTTTATTAATAATTCCATTGTTTATTAAGTTAACAATTTGTTATAAACAAATTCCCAACTTTGGTTTATTTTTTTCCTGAAAGAAATAAAAATTCCAAAAACGACTTACTGCTTTAAAATTACGGAAAAAAATGTATTCCATTTTTTATTAAACTTAAAAAAAAATCACATGACCCTACTTTCCATTAGAAAATTTATCTATCTTACGTGTCTCAAGTAAAGTGCATCTCGTTATAACAAAAATACAATATCTCTTGAGTTTTACTTCGTTTTTGTTTTGTCATTATCTTTTTTCATTTAGAAGTTAAAATAGAAGAGGGTACAATTTTCGTCATCACTGTATACAGGGTGTTAAAAAAAAGTGTCACAAAATAAAACGGGGGGTAGTATGGGCCAAAATATGCAGAAAAGTCTTAATAAACATATGTCCGCAAATGAATGGTTTCAGAGATACGGAGTGTTTTGTGTTTTGTATCATTTTTTGATTCTTTTTTCATTCTCAAAAACTTGCTTTTCTTATCGGAGTCTACCGATGTTTTTTCATAGATACTATTTGCAGTTATTATTTTGTTGTGGGTGAATAATTTTATAAATTTTCGTTATGCCTGTTTACACTAATATTGAATTAGCTGACATGCATTTTATGTACGGTCGTGCAAATGGCAATGCGAGGGAAGCGCTACGTCAGTATATCGACGCTTTCCCTAATCGCCACATCCCTTCATTTAACTTTATGTTGTTATTGATTGTTTATAAATATCATTATTTTTTTATAATAATAAAAAATTGTTATAAACACAAAATGGTCCGTATCTCCGAAACCGTTAATTTGCGGTCATATATTTATTAAGACTTTTCTGCTTATTTTGGGTCATACTATTCACCATTTCATTTTGTGACACTTTTTTTTTAACACCCTGTATAGTACATTTGTTTGTATTACCTTTTCTTTGACAGTTTTTCGAAAAACCGCTTAAAAATGTTCAACTTATCTTCAAAAGTAACCTCAGAAAAGCAGAATGGATTTAATATAAGAAATGATTGTATAAATTTTAAATAAATGAAATGAGAAATATTTTTTCTTATAAATCACTATTTGTAAAATACACAAGTATTCTTTGTTACCATTTAATATATATAGAATAGGTGTGTTATAGTTAAGTTTTTGACTATCTCGAAATCTAATATGTTAAAATTTTAAGTTACGATAAGCAATTGAAAATTTCAAAGAGAAAATTGTTCGAGAGAGTCCGAGAGAGCTCGAGAGAAACGAGAATTTCTCGTCGAGAGATGACACTCTCTCGTCTCGTCTCGAATCTGTTTTCGAGAAGAGACAGACGAGAATCTCTCGTCTTGAGGCATCACTAGGTATATAAATGTGGATTAGATTCGGGCCTACTATTTTTACTGATACTGCTTCAAGATTGGATGTTATTGGAATATGACTGGCGTGTTGTCTGTGAACTCTGCTTTTATAAAAACACTGATATGTCTTAGGTAAATGGTATTGATTATCTTTAAAATGAGTTTCTTGTAGGCATAGAATATCTAGGAAATGTTCAGAGATGATAATTTGTAGCATAGTTAGATTATTAAAATGACCGTTCATGTTCCATTGTAATATTAAATTTTAAATTATATATTAAGCAAAAAATTGTGAAAAATTAGTATTCAAACATATCTTAAGATGAATCACTTTCAAAGTCACCTGTTTCGATACCCTAATGTCGATTTAACTTTTTAATTAGTTTGGTAATTCTGACCTTGATGCTTCTTTCAGGTAGAAGGGGATATATATCAGTTAACATTTTGGTAAGCGACGAGAAATTAGATGTATAATCGGTAATTACATCAATAGGATTAGTAGATCCATGAATATTGTTGAAGAGGTCCATAATTTGTTCATAGTTCAATGGAAATTCAGCAGAATGTTCAATGATATACGATTTGGCTGGTTCTAATAAGAATGACTTCTGTTTTTGTTGTTTGGGGGTAAAAGGAATCCTTCTTTTTTTCCTGGGTGTCTTGTTGCGTAGTACTACAAATATCGGAGCAAGTCCTTATCGGAAGAAGGACTGGAGACTTCAGATATAGATCTTTTAGCAACAGCAGATATAGTGGTTGGAATTTCTATAGTACTAGTGTTTAGTGGTGGTAAGGTTGTTGAAGTGGTCTGGTTTGGTATATCTACTCGGGCTACAGTTGATTCAGTTAAAGTAGGTGGAGGTACTATGAGTGTTGAGGTTGTGTTTGCAGTTGTTGTACACGATGCGTGTGAAGGAGAATGTTTTTTTGTTGGTGGTAATGTCGTAAATGTTAAGGTATTGGACGTGGATACCATAGATATCATAAAAAAATTCTGTTCTATTGGAGCAAAGTCGATAGTATTTGGGGAAGAAGGGCAATTAGCTGCAATGTGACCCGATTGTTTGCATGTAAAACACATGTTTTTCTAGAGTTAAATGCGATATGAAGTCTCTTCATAATTTATTACAATCGATTCAGGAATTGTAGTAGATTCTTGCGGTGAAATGTAGATGTATCTGCGAAAGCTTAGAATGTGTCTGTAGTCTAGATTTGCCGTACCTATCCTAAGAAAATTGATTGGCGATGCTAGGTTAATGCTCATGTTTATTAATTCATTTTCAATTATGTTGATATTCGATATTATCAATCTTTTGTTGGGGGTAATCAGACGTCGAGCAAATATTGACTGGTTGTTGATAACAATTTTTCCATTATTGGTAGCTATGAATGAGTCGACTATAACTTCACTGGCTAGATATATGCATTTACAGTTGTTTGAGATTCTTGATGAAAATGGTATGTTTTTGGCTTGTAAGATGTTTACAACAGGAAATAAGTATTCTTCCAGTTTTGTGTTTTCTAACGCATCATATAAGACAGCTCGTTTTTTAGTTGGGCATTTATATGTTATTTGGTTTGAAACTAAAAAATAGGTACGTGACTGAGACGGTAGAGGAGAATTTTGAGGAATAGTGTCCCCCTTAAAGTATTGTCATCCATTCGTTGTGGCTAATAGCATTTGACTGTTGATGGTCGTAAATACGGACCTGTTTATATTTCGAATTAGTGATAAAAACTCAAAAAACTGGTATTCTGGTAAATCGTCAAACCTTATTGCTAGTGTTATATGCAGTAAACAAATTACTTTCATACTTTTAATGAACAAAATCGACTTACAGATAACTGGTTCTATGCACCAGACACTTTTGCACAAGTTAGACACTGTTTTGCGATTTTAAAATACTATTCTAATATGAGATTTGATAAATTAACAAGACTCAATGAAAAGCTGTTTATATATTCAGTATCAGAACCGGACTTCAGCGATAGATTAAAATGTAAACAATCCGTTTTTTACAAACAAAACACTGTTGAACAATGTTTATTTAGGTATAATATTTTTATTCACTTATAAACAACCTAACAACTTAAAAAAACAGTTTCTTAAAAAAAATTGCTGCCCCAACAATTCACGAAGGAATTTTGTGAATCAAATGAAGTTATTACGACTCTCTTACAAATATCGATTGTTTCTTTTTGCGCTGTTGTCAGATTTCACATTTCTTTTGATAACAAACATAACCTAATTACATTTCTACTATTAACACCATAAACTTGACATCACTGTTAAATCAGAATGAGTACTTTGTGTTATCAGAATTATAAAATAAGAAAATGTACCTCATTTCATAAACAGTCATAGTTAAGAAAGTGCAGCTTCTTATTATAGCCGTAAAAAATGATTTGTTTAGTTTTCCTTTTGTCGTGAAATCATAGATAGCCCAATTACTCAAAAACACTTACCGCATTTCATGACATGTTAGAGTGTTTCTAAGACACAAATTTTATTTACTTTTCTATTTAGGAAACTGTTGAAGTGCCCGAAAGTACACTAGATGATAACATGGAGGACAAACTAGAAACAGTTCAAAACTTCTATGAACACAATCCTCTGCAAAGAGTACAAAGGTCAGATGAAGATAGTTCATTAGAAGTTGTTTGGGTTACTTCAGAAGAAGCTGAAGCGGCACAGAATGAACCTAGTGTAAGTAGAAAATAATCTATAACAACTGGAGCGCTTGGGATATTTTCCCCCAGTAATATTGTTGATCGATATTTTTTGTTGTAACTATTATAGGGTTGTAATGTCTTTGATTATAGGTGATTATGGTCAACAAACGTAAAGCGTGGTGATTTCATGTTCACATTGCTGCAAATGGGCCACAACTCATGCGCTGGAATGAATAGCGAAGATAACAAAAAACTTGTAAAAAATTAATTAGAATTTTGTTAATAGGTATATTTTTACCTTTTTTTTTAATTAAATAGTTGTTAAACATGTTTGTATTTATTAAAAACTCGAATGAAAATCGATTTTTTTGTAAATGACGTCGAATTATTTATTTAAATTTTTTTTAGAGTAAATTATAAAAAAAAAGAATTAAATAGCAAAAGATCCATTTTTTACTTTTTTGTACGATTATGCCACATCAAATTATTTATTTATATTTTTTTATGTAAAAAATATAAGAAAGAATTTAAAAAGCGAAAAAATCTATTTAGTTTTTAATTTTTGCTTATAATTGCTTTCTGAGTAGGGTTAGGTGCAGGCATTGCTTATAGAAAAGTAGATTAAATTTCCTTTAAAATCGTGGGTTATAAACGTTTTTGGGATAAAAATGGACTAGTTGAGATGGACTAGGACATAATCAATAGCCTATAACTTCAAATCCTAAATATATCAATTGGGTAATAAAAAATCTGATGTGTCCATTACATGACTTTCCTATCTAGTTATTATATAGGCTTTCTCCGGTTATTTTGTATAACCTATTGCAGCACCTCTATAAATGTTTAGAGGATAAACTAAATATATACATTTTCCACATACATCTGCCTCGAAACATTTTTCTATAGATATTCATTGAAAACGAAAATACTGAAAAATTTAAATTTAGCACTTTTCCTACAATTTTTCCATTACGGTTTATTTTAGAATAATCATGTAAAAAATAAAAATTAATTAAGGTGCATTGTCTTAAATAATTACGCTGGGCTCACTTAAACCTAGGTGAAGTTTTTCATGCAACCATTTTACAAACATTTCTGTGTTAATATTATCGTGATAGTCACTGGATTTTGATTTAGATGAAAATATTAAATCAGCACCTTCTATAAAACCCGATTTCCCTCCTGCATGTAAAATTATGTGTCGCTTCCCTTCTCTATCGGTATGTTTGATGGACTTTACGTTATCATCTTGCCATATTCTCTTGGTTACATCCCTAGAAAATATCCATGTTTCGTCTAAATATATAAAATTCGCCCCTTCTTCTTTAAATTTAGAATATTTTTTTAGAAAGTTAATTCTCTTGTGCATGACAGAACTTCTTTCACAAATGGCCTTTCTGTTATCCTCCTTTTAAAATTTTAAACCCAAGTTATGTATCACTTGCCATAGACTTGTTCTGCCAATGTCGTCAAATTTTCTATCTATTAATTCCTAGAGAATTGTATTTAAGGTCACATGTTTTTTGTTGGCCCTCATTCGATAAATGGTATCACGAATTTCAAATTTCTTTCCATCTGTAAAATCTTTCGTTTTCAATGATGGGCGAGTTTTGCGGTGATCTCCTTTCGGCAGTTCACTATTGTGATTTTGTAATCTAGAGCATCGCATACGCGTTGTTGTACAGACATTACCGATTTTAAAGGACCGCTATTTTCTTTTTCATCCGTAAAATACTTATGTACACTACAAATTAGACTATTAAAATGTCCACTAAATATACAATATGCATACAATGTCAACACTTACAAAGAATCAATTCAACTGCAATATTTGTAACAAATTTAGTACCTACCCTAATGTTATTTTAATTTAAATCTGATCATTAGGGCAATTTTACCTAATTTCTTGGGAAGAGGCTTATCAGAACTGGTTATCAATGACTAATTTGCATAATTTTGTTAATCCGAAACCCGCGTAAGTATAGCGAACAGACTGTAAAATGTTAAGCCAATATGTGTTGCATATTTTCAGAATAACGTTATATACATATTTAACTATAGCCTGACAACATCTTTGCTCTGGAATTTTCTGTACCTCTATATGAAGTTGCCTGTGTCCTTTCACAAGCTGCATCCAAGAATTGTGGAGCAAACCACGACCTGATACTAAAAACGGTCAAACATCGAATGATACTAAAATTGTTAAGAATGTATTCTGAAGATCTCATTAAAAAAAAAGGTATTTATTAAAAGACTAATAGGAATGTGGTATATTATGTTATTTGTGTGTTCTCTTTTTTTATGAAATATTAATTGTTAAGCTCCTCTAGGTAACATAAATAAAAAATATATCCAAATCTTTGATCTACCACAAGTTGTTTGGACATTTGTACAAATTAAAACTTAATCACGACTTTTAAAATATATTTCCTTTGAATTTCAGTATTTAAAATACAAAACAGTTTCAACCCTCAAAACGATCCTGACTAAAAACCCACCCGTTCTTGTTACCGTATCCATCGATTCTGGCATCCCAAACCGAAAATCGTCAGACCGTGAAGAGTCATCTGTTGTTAACAATTATAGGCAACTTAAGTGACACAATAGAACCCCTGCTCTATAATAGAGTGGACGGATAATACACTGCCATTATACGGTATATTGTACGCTTTGAAATTAATCGTTTGTGAATTATAAATTTATTTAGTGAATGTTTTGGGTGACTATAATTTGTCCTTGGAAAAGATTCGGTCACATGATTTTGTTCTGTGGTTTTCGGGGGTTTATGAGGCCTGTTGATAATAGATATCAATATAATTTTAAGATGAAAATAATAAAATGAGTATAAATGCTAAATATACAGTCACAGAAAGTTAAACGTGTTAATAGTAGTTTACGTTATAAGCTTGTTATCTAGATAGTTACATACGAGCACGTAGAGATCAGGTAACGGGCTTATAACGTAAACTACTATTAACACAAAAAAAATCTATTTTTTTCAAAAAGATTTCTTAATGAAGGCTTGGACAAAATGTTTGCAATTTATTCGTTAGATGAAACATAGGAACCCTGAATGTTCCCCTTTACTGGTCTCTAACGAAATTATAAATTTAATATTTAGTTCTTTTGTGATCCTTCACACTCTTGCACTTTGATTACCTATCCACAAGAAGTTGTACTGCGTGATTTGCGTTGGTCTCTGAAAGTTCTTGTAAAAAGTATCTTATCCAAATTGCTTCTTGTGATGTCTCTGAGGCTGCTACGTATTCTGCCTCTGTAGCCATACATTTCTGCTGTCTAGAAGCCAAGTTACAGGACTTCCAATTAAAGTGGTGATATAACTAGTAGTAGATTGTCTCTTATCTAGGTGTGCATCTAAGTAGACTTGAATGCTAACATCATTCTTGCAGTATAATATTCCGAATAACGAAATATTCTTTTTACTTTCCAGGATTATTTAAAAGTTTGCTTCTTGACCAACCGCAATAAACATAATATGACATCCCACTGCTTTACGATAGGGCTTGCTGGTCATCTCCAATTCGTCTTCTTTAATTTTAGGACATTGACTTGAAGTCAGGACTGTACTTGTTTCTGTAAATGTAGAAAGCATTACAATCTTGCATACATCACAATCTTGCATATTTTAAAATTTCTACAACACGTTGAATAGATATTTGTCCTGATGAATGAAGATGGTGTTTTCATTTTTATTTATTTTGAGTTGAATACCTACAAAATATTCAGGTTGGCATTGAGTAATTTAAATTTCTTTATTTAACTCCATCAAAAAGAATTTTTGTAGATCTGCAAAACAAAAGTCAATCATCAACATAAATATAATAATAATAATAATAATAATAATAATAATAATAATAATAATAATAATAATAATAATAATAATAATAATAATAATAATAATAATAATAATAAATCTTTATTAGTACTAGCCAATGCTGCCATCATAGATGGATGTACACGTCAACATTAATAAATAAAATTTTAAATAAAATTAAAATTACATTACACTGAACACATACGTTAAAACTAATAGTTAAATACAAATCAAAATATTTTTTTAAAGAAGACTATCTTCAGACAAAAAATCGTTAACAGAATAAAAGGAACAACGAGTAATAATAGTTTTTACATTAGTTTTGAATTTAGTGTAAGATAATGCTTGAATATTTTTAGGTAATTTATTAAAGAGTTTTATGCCTATATATTGCGGTGACTTTTCAAACAAAGCTAGTCTATGTTGGACCGAAATAAACGTGTTTGCATTTCTGGTGGGATATCTGTGAAAATCGGAATTTTTTTTGAATTTGTGTAAGTTAGACTTTACATACAGAAGTGTTTTATAAATATAAATGCATGGTAACAGAAGAATTTTATGTTTTATGAACATTTGCTTACAGCTTTCCCCTGCCTGAATTCCAAATAATATGCGTATAATGCGCTTTTGTTTAACAAAAACTTTGTTAGACGTTACACAGTCTCCCCATAAACTAACATTATTTGATAGGTGAGGGTAAACTAAGGAAAAGTAAATATTTAATAATGATTTTTGGTCCATAGTCTTCTTTAATTGCAATATGGCATAAAAAGCAGAGTTAAGCTTTTTACATACTTGATCAACATGTGAATCCCATGATAAAAATTGGTCAACATAAACTCCCAAAAATTTCGTTTTTACTTCATGTGTAATTGATGAGACTGCTATAGGTAAGCTATTTTTGACGCATCTAAAATTTACATAAACGGATTTATCAATATTAGGAATTAAGGAATTATTTTGACACCATGTTTCAAATAGATTTAGTATACAATTAAGTGTATGTTGAAGTTCTTCAGCGGTCCGAGCCGAGACCACCACTGACGAGTCATCGGCAAACATTAAAACTGATCCGCCATTTAAATACTGAGGTAAATCATTTACAAAAATAATAAATATTAGTGGTCCCAGCACAGATCCCTGAGGAACCCCAATATCAGTGGTATATATTTCAGATTTTTCCTTATTTAATTGTACATAAAATTTTCTATCTGACAAATATGATTCTAACAAGTTCAACATGTTACCTCTAACACCATAAGAGTATAACTTTTTTAAGATAAATTGAATTTGTAGGCTATCAAACGCCCGAGAGAGATCAAAGAAGAGGCCGGCAACAAACATTCCGTTGTCTAATTTATCGTACACTTTAGTAAAAAATTCAAGAACAGCTCCCTCCGTTGATCTTCCCGCGCGAAAACCATACTGATTCG